CCCGTGAAGGTAATCAGTCACTGACCTCTCCCAGCTCTTATCTCTACTCATGAACCATGAATCTTGTTTTTTTTTTTCTCTCTCCTCTGTCCAGTTGCAGAGGGAGAGTGAGAGAGAGGCTTTAGTGGGTACCTGGCATCTGGCCAGGGTCAACCCACTACACCATCCCTCATCAGGACTGACACCATTTCCCTGGCATTAATGGAAGCAACCTGCCTGTGGTAACGAGGAAGGGGACAGCACCCTCCACCTGACCATACTGAAGGACTAGGGGAGATCTTCAGCTGTGTCATCTCATGAAAGACCCTGGCTTGATGGCTGCTCCCGTGGGTAGGAGGCCAGGCAGTGATGGGAACACTGGTGAGCCCCAGTAAGCACTGGGCAAGCAGGGAAGGCATCACTCCACCTGCTCCTCAGGGCAGGCACCTTGCCAAAAAAAGGGTCCTGACACTTTAGGAAAAGAACAACCCTAGAGCACCAGAGAGGGCAAAGAACCTGACAGGCTGCCCAGGGGGCAGGGAGGAGGTGAGACATGGTCCCTGTGATCCTCAGCCTTGCAGCCAAGCAATTTGTCCCAGCCCTGGCACAGCACAAGGAATTACGGTGATGTAGCACCCTGATTGCTCCAGGTGAATTGTGATATGGATGTAGATAACTTGTCAGCATGTTTATGTAGCAGATGCCAGTTTAAAGGGATGTCCACACACATCTTTACGTGCTGCTCACTGGAGTTCCCTGGGAATTACTGCTGACAGCTCAGGCTGGGGCACCACAGTGCAAGTTTTGCTGGGGGATGTCACAGAGACATGGAAGGGCAGGGATGTCCCACCTGCATGGGTCCAGCACCCTCCTCCTATCCTGGGATCTCTGGAGCTTTGCCATAGGGTGGAGGGCTCAGGGTTGGAGGAGGAAGGCAGTAGGAACCCGATTTGTTAGACCCCAGTTTTAAAGGTCCTTGGATTCAGGCGTGTTGCCTGGCCAAGACGTGGATGGAGCATTTTTCATGGCCATTTGGGTGGGGAAAGTCCCCAGGAGTTCTGTCCCCTTACCCACAGGAGGATCACGGACCTCTGTGCAGTGTCTGCTCAGGGTCATACTCCTCCTCCTCCTCCTCCTCCTCATCCTCCCTGAGTGGGACAGGGATGCACACTGGGCTTGGGAGAGGGCACCCATGTCCCATCATCTCTCCTCTTCCTGGGAAAGGAATGGACAGCAGGGGACAGATGGATGAAGAGGTGTCAGGGGTTACAGAGACCTGCAGCATGGCTCTGCTCTCTGCCCTGAACATCACCTTCTCCACAGGGGAGCAGGGAGTCCTGGCTCTGCTGGTGTCCTGACACAGAATGGCGTGGGTGGGGAGAAGGTGCCAGTCCCTTGATGACTGCCAGCTGTGCTGCCTCCACCGGTCTTGACCCCAAGGCGTGTGGCTCTGCAAATGCCACAGGAGAGCAGAAGTGCCTGGGTGTGCTGGGGAAGCGCCGGGACACCAGAGGCAGGGCTGCCCTCCACAGCCCAGGCAGAGATTTGCTTTGACAGGGCTGCAATGGGCAATCCCTGGGTGCAAAGGGCAACAACCACTCAGGTCTGAGCTGCTGAGTTAGCAAGATGGCTGTGGCCTCCCTGCTAAATGCAGGGTGACCTGGGTGGGGCTCAAAGGGGGTACAGCCAGGCTTGGCTCCCTTCCTTTGCTGATCCTTCCTGTCTGAGCTGTGCTCTCCTCTCTCCGCAGCATCTATAAATATCCTTCCCATCTCCGTGACAGCCCGGTGTGGGACCACAGCTGAGGGACGTGGCAAGAGACTCACCAAGGAGCAGAGGCAGCAGCATCCAGCGAGGTGGGAGAGGCACACAGCAGGCCCTGACCAGCTCAGGCCAGGGAGAACTGACTGGAAGCCTGGGGAAGGATGCAGGTGGGCAGAGAGGCCAGGGATCCTGGCATGATGCTCTTTCCCAGTCTGTTTGGGGTTCCTTGGTTGCCTTGTGGTCGCACATGGATCCTACTATGGAAGGGGTCTGCATCCCCAGCCAGGAGCACCCCAGGTTCTTTCTCGAGTGTTTGAACCTGTACCAGCTCCAACGCCCCTGACAGTGCCCAGCCTTCATGCACAGACAGTGATTATGCACACGAGGCACATCCTGACCACAAAACCAAGTGTCCAGGGAAACCAGGATGTCTGCCCCTACCCCCACACCCCTTCGGTGCCCACTGTGTGTGCATTGCATCACGGTACACAGTTCACACCACCCCAGCACCCCTCTGCACCCTATGACACGTCATCCTCTCTTCCCAGAGCTGACAGTGTATCTGAGAAGCCTTCCATTCCCTGGGATGGATTTGGGGCAGGCTATTCCAGAGTCACTGTGTCTCGGTCCTGCAAAGCCACTTTACGCTCTGTGACAGTGCTCAACCAGTGCAGCTCCTCTGGGATGCTGGGTCACAGCAAAGCCAAAAGCTGTGGGGAGATTCACTGTCTAGTAGCTCTTGGCACTTTTGCAAGACTGGAGGATCCACGTTCCTGCGACACAGGAGGCTGGGATGGCATCAAGGGACTGGAGAGCCTGTGTGGGCAGCTGGGATGTGTTGAAGGTCTGCAGGGTGAATCCCTTGCTTTGGAGCATGGCACTGGGAGCACTGCAAGGCCAAAACTGGCTTCTGCCTCCCCAGAGCTTTGTCTCCAGAGCTTGGGACTGAGATCACCGAGTCACAGAACAGTTTGTGTTGAAAGGGACCTTGAAGACCATCTCATTCCAAACACCACTCAACAGACCAGGATGCTCCAAGCCCCGTCCAACCTGGCCTTGAACAGTTCCAGGGATGGGGCAGCCACAGCTTATCTGAGTAATCTGTGCCAGGGCCTCACCACCCTCACAGGGAAGAATTTCTTCCCAATATCCCATCTAACCCTGTCCTCTGGCAGTGGGAAGCCATTTCCCCTTGTCCTGTCACTCCAGGCCCTTGTTCAAAATCCTTCTCCAGCTCTCTTGGGGCCACTTTAGGCACTGCAAGGGACTCTAAGGTTTCCCCAGAGCCTTCTCTTCTTCAGGCTGAACCCTTCCAGCTCTCCCAGCCTATGTATGTAGCAGAGAGGCTTCAGCCCTTGGAGCATCTTTGTGGCCCCATCTGGACTTGCTCCAACAGGTCCACATCCTTCTGATGTTGGGACTCCAGAGCTGGAGGCAGGTGGAATCTCACAAGAGCCAAGTGGAAGATGGTGGCAGTGGGAATGCTGTTCCTCTGGCATGCCTGGCTCTGCTTGGGCACTGGGAACAGAGGGCTGAAGAATCCAGCACTGAGCTGTGACAAGCCCTTTCAGCAGAAGGAGATGTCCAGGTCAGAGTAGCAATGTGATAGCTGGTAGAAAATCTGCTCTCCCCACCAGCTGCAAGGGTGCAACCACTGGAGCGTCCTCTGGGGCTTTCTGGTGGCTTGGTGTGATTTGGGAGACCATCAGCCCTAACCCCTTTGGTCCAAGGTCCACTGCAAAGACCACCGTGTAGCTGCACCCCTGGCCCCACAGCACAGCTCAGCCTCTGCCAGCTGCCTTAGGAATGTCTGGCGTCCTCCCTGTCAGCTGTGTCCCCGCCTGAGCCGCTCTGCAAGCCCATCCCATGATACTGCTGATGACAGGATCTCTCCAGCACTGCCTCTGGACCGACAGCTTCCCAGGCAGTCAGGGGAAAAAACCTGGAGGGACCTGAGGCCCTGTGCCGTTCCCAGGTCCTGGTGATGAGTGGTGCAGACGTGTCCCTGCAGGCACAATCCTCATCCATTCTGAATGAGGAATTGTTGCCACCACATGCCGTGAGTTGGGCAGGGAGCCCCTCTCACTCCAGCACGTAGGAAGCTGCTGGTGGTGCCATGGGGTGCCCTGGCATGGGGTGCAGCATCTCCAGGGAACACACTGGCATACAGGGTAGAATGGAGGGTGTGCAACACCCCTCCCACCCTGACCCCACTGAGCAAGTCTGAGGTGAGTTTTATCCAAGGTATGGCCTGACAGAGAGACAACAGAGATGCTCACCCTGCCCCATGTGCCTTGTCCTGGGGTGAGTTCCTGGGGCAGGGGAGAGCTGCAATCACACATTAGTCCCTGGCTATGAGTGCATAGAGGAAGGAGCAAATAGCCCCCTGCCCATGGCATAGGTGGGAGTCAGCATCTGTGGTTACCACAGGCAGGTATTAGTGATTGTTCAGCATTTAGATGGGGAAGCAGTCGTGGCCGCTGTAGGGGGTCTGTTGACAGATGTCGAGTGTTTAATGCTGAGCAAGGTACTCACCTGGCTCGGCAATTCTGGCGGCTTCAAGCAGGAGGGATGCAGAGGCTGTGGGAAGGATGCTCTGTGCTCCCCAGGAAGCCCAGACCCCCTGTCACAGGGCATCGGTGCCCAGTGCCCGGCCTTTTATCCGCCTGGCACAACTGCTTTGTCCTCCCAAACTGCTTTGGAAAGACCCTCTCTCAGGTGGCCAATGTGGCTGTAAACAGGGTGTTGTCAGTCCTGGCCCTGCTGTCCCCTGCTCCCACTGCCCCAAGTCAAGGGCAAGCAGACAGTGTCTATCCCAGACCTACGTGGCCTGCAAAGCATCAGGGTGGGGGGGTGTCCTGCCTGTCTTCCCCAGCCATGCAAGGGGAGCACTTACAAGGGATTTTCCTCTCCGCGCACACCGGGACGGACGGGTAACCCCGTCCCCTTCACACCTGACCCCGACCGAGCGCAGAGCTCCCTCCTGCAGGGGCTGCAAGTTCGTGTCTCGCCGCAGCCGGCCGAGAGCAGCGAAGAGGGATGGGCGGCACGGGGAGCAGCGGGGACTGCTGGAGCATTGCGAGGGAAAGTGGGGAGCGGGAGCCCGGGTCGGATGCCGGGTCTGGGTACAGCGTGCGCGTGTGGCGCGGGAAGGGGGGCTCGCTGCAGAGCCCACCCAGCCCATTGGCTTGCGAGCGGTGACGGGCAGGCTGCTCCCTCCCCGCTCGCTCGCCTGTGTGGCTGCGAGCAATGTGCGCAAAGTGCCTTTGCATTAGCCCGTGAGTGCCGTAGCTCTGGACAGAGGTAGCTCGCTCGCAGAGGTGCTGGGACGACAGAGGTGGCCCTGTCCCGCGCCTGGTGGCCCCGCCGGACCATGGCATGGGCACAGGGGGGTCTGACATCCTCGCTCTCCATCGTCATCACGTTGGCTGCCTGCCTCTCTGCCACCACCAGCGAAGGTAGGAACCGGGGTGGCCCTGGAGCGACGGGGCAGTGTTGGGGGGACCCACGGGATCGCTGCGGCTGTTTGGATGTGTCTGCCGGGCTTAGGTCTGCCGGGTTTGGCTTCTCCGTGCTCCCAGGGGATCGCAGCTCCAGGTTCCTGCCTGGCTGAGTTTGCTGATCCTGGAGCTTTTGCACCAGAGGCAAAACTTTGGAGCTGGGCAGGAAGACCTGATTCTGCAGCAATGCCGGCAGCTCTGCCTCCCTCCCCTGCCGGGGCTCTGCTGCAGCACGCAGGGGTGGCTGCAGAAGGGATGGGGATACCGGCACCAGCCCAGCCATGGCGATCCCCACCACCAGAGCTGGCAGCAGCGCAGGGCCGTGCATGTTGGCCGAGCAGCATGGGCTGGGCTGGAGTGAGCAGGTGGGCATGGGCAGGTGTGCAGAGGATGCAGGGAGCTGGAAAGGGCACTCAGGTGGGAAACTTCTTGTGAGAGAAAGGGCTGGAAACTTCTGAAGTAGAAAGCAGGGATGCAGCCAGGGATCCTCTCCCGACATCTTGGTGTCAGCCACATCAGGCCTGCTCCCTCCACCCGGCTGCTCTGCCCTGCTGCTGGCTGCCCTCATCCCTGGCCTTTGTCCACGTCCCTACTCTGGTGTCTCAGTTCTCTCTGAGAACTCGGCTTCGGCAGTGCTGCTCCTGCTCTTGCCACCCACCCGTTCTCCTGCCTCCCTCTGCGCTGGCAGCAGCGGCACGGCTGCTTCCTGGGTCTGCTGATCTTCATCACCAGAGATCTGCCGTTCCCGCTCCCGAGCGTGTCCTTGGCACTGGCAGCAGCATCCTTCCTCCCTTCTGCTGTGCCTGAGAGCCACGGCAGCTCTGCAGCGAGCCCTGGGGCCGGTGTCCCTACCCCATGCTGGCAGTGGCACCTCTCCCTTACCCTGCCCCTGCATCCCTGCCATCCTTCTGGCATGCTGAGGCCCATGGGCTGGCGCTGCTGTGCCTCATGTGCTTTGTGGTACCCCGCTGGGCCGGCTCCTTGTGCTCACTGCCGTCTTCCAACACACACCAGCACCTTCCTCCCTTCTATTCCCCATTTCCAGCTATTTGCTGGTCCTAACTCTGTTTTCTGCCCACTGCCCACTTCCTGGCCCTCCTCCTGCTCCTTTCCTCATCAGCTTTCCTGCCCGTGCAGGGAGATTGCATTGGGTCTCACTCCTGGGCATGGGCTATGAGGGTGCAGGATGGGGCCCCAGCACCCTGACAACTCCAGCCCTTGCCTGGTTTCTGCTCTGTGGTGCAGGATGCTGCCCCGTGCCCCGAGCCCCGGGCACAGAGCAGTGCAGGACACTGCCCATGCTGCCCTGGGCGCTGCAGCCCCACAAAGCCAAACAGCCCTGCCTGGACTTGGCGGACCTTGAGCATGGACAAACCAGGCTGGGGCCTCTTTGCTGTCTTCTGCAGAAGAGATCGCTGGCTGCTGGGGTGGATTTTATGGTGTCTGCCTGGACAGCCAGGCCTGAGTGCTGGGTGACATCAGGAAAAATTGTGGGGCGCTCCAGCAAGCTGTTGGTGCTCCGTCCTCCGCCCCTGAAGATGCTCCTGGCTCTGGATGCTGTGGATCCTGTGCCATGGGACGGGGCAGCTCAGTGCCAGCCGGGCCCCGCAACACGGGCGGTGGAGCTGGGGATGCGGCTGCAGGCTCCTGCCAGCTCCCAGTGTCCCAGGGTGCTGGGATGGGCTGGGAGCAGCGCCCGTTCTGGGGCAGCTGTGGTGCCGGTCGCTGAGCACCCTGGCACGGAGATGGGGCTGGAAATGTGGGGAGATGCTGCAAAGCGCAGCCCAGCCCTGGGGTCTCCCACACTCCAGTTGTGCCAGGCTTGACCGCCCCATTCCTACTGCACATGGTGCACGCGGGCACGGAGCGAGGGCGTCGCCACGGCACCAGGGTGCCCCGCTGCCCGTCACCTCTGCCTGCTCCCACAGCCTCTCCGTGCCCTGCATCCCTGGCCGTGCTCCCTGGCAAACCCAGTGCTGGTTTGAGAACCGCAGGGTAGAAAATTACAGCCGCAAAGCAGACTTCAGGCCGGGCGTGCTGCGCTTCGCATGCGCGTGTTGGGAGGCAATTTCTGTATAAAAACACGTATTAACCAAAAAAACAGCCTCAATCCCGGGTTTTTTCCTCTTCCAAGAGCTCCCAGCGCCTTTCCCTTTCCTGAAAGATTTGTTCCGAGAAGTTTTAAGCTCATATTTTTTTATTCCTTTCAGTCTTGCATGCGGTGGGTACCCAAGAAATAGGAGGAAAAGGGAATCACCATTCCATGGGAATCCCCCATTTCGGCACGGCAGCCATTGCAAAATGCATCGAAAGCCAAAACTCAGATTTTTTTTTTTTTATAGATTAGTGAAAATTTGCAGGATGTGGAAGATTGTTATTTGGAGCACTGTAAAAAAGATTTGTCTGAAATTGTCAAATTGCTTTAGAGCAGGGAAGTATAAAAGTTATCTTTAATAATATGAAAATAGTGTGAGAGACTAAAATATTTACACTGTTGCACACTGAGTTGCACAGGTGAAAATAATAAAGTGGGTGTTTTATATGATACCACAAATTGAAGTTAAATAATAAAATATGAAATATCTTTGTTGTATTGAAAGAAAATCAGACGAGCAGAAATTACCACATTTGGAGCTTGGGCGGGGGGTAAAAAAAAAAATCATATTTTCTGCCAAAAAACGGCACTTAAATGCTGCTGCTGGGGTCTGCTTCCTCCGAGGTGATGCCCGTGAGGAAGGCGACCTTCCTCCCCATCACAGCGCAGACCCCATGGCCTGCGGGTGAGCTTGAGTGGGACTGCCGTGCAGGAAAGGGGGATCTGGGACATCTCCCCCAGCATTTTGGGACATGTAGGTCTGGACGAGGCGGACAGCAGGTGATAGGGATGTGGTGATGTACAGGGGAGGACGCAGAGCCGATGACAAGGGGATGCCTGTCTCCTCCTCGCACCACGGGTTTGGGGATCGAGGTGTTTTGTTCCTCCACTCAACAGGGATGGGGTGTAGGAGAGCACCAGGATCCTTAGGAAAGCCCAGCCGCTTGCCGCGCTACCAAAACGGGGGCCACAGGAAGGGTCCGTGGCGGCCTCCCCCACTAATCTCTCATTGTAATCTCATTAATTGCCTCTCTGCTCAAACAGAAAAACTCATCTGCACATTTATTCAGTGCTACTTTCCTACCCCTCTGCAGCGACGCTGGAGTCGGGGCCAGGGGAGAAGCAAAGCGCTGAAAGGGAGAGGAAATCGCCTTTTCTGTGCTCAAAAGGCTGTGGGGATGTGTGTTCCTCTGTAAGAATAGGAAACAAGAGAGTTTAGGCATACAGACTTCTAGTGATGGGAGATGGAGGAGGATTAGTTTAAAACAGGGAGTTGATTCGGGCTACGCTTGTAAAAAAAAAATAAAAAATTTGGGGGTGTTTAATTTTTTTTTTATTTCTCCCCAAATGCTGATATAAAGCATTTGATATAAAGCTTGCTGATATTGCATGATTTTAGGTAGGCTCACGGGGTTATGTTTCTGGTGTCATCTTCATTTCCATCCTTCCTGTATTAGCAGCTTATAAAACTTCCGAAAATCAAGCCCCCAAATTTGCAGAAAAAAAATAAATAACACGACAGCGCACAAAACACACCTGCTCTGTGAGGGTTTTCATTCTCCTGGAATTCTTGTTTCCTGAAATCACGAGGAGTTTGTTTCCAGTGACAATAAATGGGCACCCATTTTGGTGACGGCGAAAATGGATCTGATGAAGCCCAATTTAAGTACAACCGAAACCCCGGTGAATTGCTACGCAGAAGAAAGAATTCCCTATTTTTTTTTTTTGCTGGCTGAGGAATTATTAGAAAAATATTTTACCCGAAAGAAAAGCAAGAGCTCGGCGGCAAACCCCAGCCCCAAAAGATGCTCAGGGAGAGGAGGGAGAGAGGAAGGAAGGAGAGAGGCTCATCCCAGGCATCCTGCCGGGGTTGGTGAGCGGGTCCTGGCAGGCAGGACCTGGGGAAGTGTGGGTTTCACTGAGACATCCTGACACCTCTGCTCTTTGTTCTGGCTGGGTCCTGTGTTCCGCCCGTGTCCTGTGTTCCGCCTGTCCCCGCTGGCCTCGCTGGCAGCCTTTGGTGCTGCCTTTATCTCCAGGGAACATCCATTCATATGATAACTCTATTCATACCCTGACAGTTTTTTGATAGTTCATTCTCCTAACCCAGCCTGTTTGCCTGGCCAACACTCAAAATGATTCCTCTGTCACAGGGAAGTGATTAACCCCTTCGGCCCTGCTGGTTCAAAAGTGAGTGGTGGGATCAGCCGGGCGTTATTTCCTTCAAAATTAAATAAACCCCCCCCGTGTCTTGCCCGCGCCGATGCACGGCACTCGGGGTCATAAATAACAACATAAGATGCAACTCCTTAATTGATCAGATCCAGGCACACCAATAAAGCCTAATGAAGTGTGTTTGGCCCGGGGATTGAGTCCAGAAAAGTATTCACCTTTTATCTGAAGGCATCCGCAAAAGCAGACCCAGCCCTGCCTTTAATAATCCCTTCCAAGGGCTCATCAGTCCCAGCCTTTAAAGATTGGCCCCCTCTTTCCCTAATACAAATTTGCCTGGCTTCACCTTCCAGCCATTTGTTCTTGTTAGGCTTTTCCTGCAGGATTAAAGAGCCCATATTTTTCAGCTGTGAAAGTGTGCTGAGCGCACCCGGGCACCTCTCAGCCCTCGTGGGCATGAGCAGATTGGGCTCTGCAGGTTCCCTTCTGGGATATTTTTTTACCTCCAGCCCCGGTATCATAGTTGTGCCTGTGGTGTTTTCTGCTCTGTCTCCAGTTTCTCATATTTAAAATGCTTATTTAACCACATCAGTGAGTGGCAACAAGCGCTGGCTGCAGCTGGATCGACCAGCTCTGTCCCAGCTCCATCCCAGCATCAACAATGAACAATGCCACAAGTCCCTGGATCCTT